GAAAAAATTGGATAAATGGCAGGCTAAATGCAACTCATGAAATCTCAACATTTGTACAGAAAGTGTGAAACTAATACTGCAAAGGCAGAACAAAGTGGAATACCAAATATAAATCACCTTATATTGGTAGCTTAAATCTACTGCTTCATCCTTATATTGAGCAGTGCAAACTCCATTCAAAATATGGCCTTTCAGGATTCCATTTATGGAGATAGCTTTTGTAGCTTCCTCTTCCTCTATCTCTTTATCCTGTAGTGAAACTTCACCATGGGGAAACTTAAAGGTTGCTCTTGGCTGCATAATTAAAAAAGAGATACATAATGAGAACAAAATCACATATTAGTCACAGATTAAAGATAACACCGCAACAGCGATGAATCCATCTCAGAAAACATGAAAGAATTTACAGTTCAATATATTAATTTTGATAAAATCATGAACCTGAAGAGAATGTTTGGCGCATGTATGCTTATGAGTATTTGCAAATCACATTTCTAAGAAATCATAACCACACTAGACTTTCCCCAAGGCTAGTGAAACATTGATGACACGGAAAGGTGTTAAGGATATAGTGTCAAAAATATTATTCTAAACACTTCAAATAAATGGACTCGCACTTTTAATCCTCTTGGCTATAATTATTTCTACTGAAATTTCAGAAAGAACCTAGGATTTAAAATGAGTACCATAGTGCCAAGAGCCGGAATACTAGAAGACAGTTCTAACTTGTAGGCAGGACTGGCAAGGTCTGCAACCATAGCCACTTCTCCTTGTTGCGCCTGAAACAATACAATAAGAGGGTAAGGAAATGGATATATAAACAGGAAGGATAGTGTTAGAGGCTTGATGCATATAAATATAGGAATCAAGAAGGTATCATAGATTAAAAGCAAGCACTAATTACAAACGGAATTGCTGTTGAGGGAGAATGTAAATATGTAATTGAATTAATTCCACTTTTGGTCCTGCGAGTTTTGTGTCAATTCCACCTTTAGTCCATGTCTTTCACTTTGTCATTTCTGGTACTTGACTAATGTTTCTACTAATGTTTCTTAATCGTTTGTGGTCCTTTTCCGGCGTCTGTGGTCCTTTTGCGGTCCTTTTCCAGCGATTTAGTCATGTACCAAAAGTGGAATTTATTCATATGTAATTCATACGTAATAATAAGTTTTTGATGATGATATCTGGTGAACTGAATAATTTATACTAAATGATTGATACAAGCAGTCTAATTAGAAGTCAAACTTGAGCTGAACAATAAATTTAAATAAAGACCTTGACATCGTGAATAGCCTTCAGTTGCAGGGCGGAAGTGACGTCGAAATTAGCCTTGACAATGGTGTTTTGTTCCTCTACGTCGTAGTGTATGGACAAGTACTTGGAATTAATGTCCAGCTGGGGATCCGAAATCTCTCCCTTGCCATTGTTCTGGAAGGACAGCTTCACCTTGGCAAAGCTGTCAAGCAGCTTGCAGGAGATTTTGTGAAGGAACGCAGTGCTGTCACTGTCATATTCCGACGTCACTCTAACAGGCGGCCGCCTGTTCTGAAGCCATTGAAGCTGACCAAATCCTCCGCCGCCGGCTCCGTCGTTAGGTGGAAGAAGAAGAGAATCAGACTTGACCTGAGCTGGAGGCGGTACAATGGGAGGCGGCGTATTAAGAACAGACAAGGCGAAGTTAGGGTTTGCAGGCGGAGGCGCGTGAATATGAAGTTCCGCTTCCGCCATAGTTTTTCAGTTTCTATAGTATGGAGTTCCGAAGTCAATTGAAAATGAGTGATAATATGGATGAGCGAGGCGGCAATTCACACGGCATGGAGAATGATTGTGTTTTTCTATTGTGACATTTTATTTTACTCCGTATTAGAATTAACAAAAAAAATGTACCGTACAATGAGAGAAATTGCAAAACAGAAAAGTTGTGGCCCATGCAGGTCTCGAACCTGCGACCTTCGCGTTATTAGCACGACGCTCTAACCAGCTGAGCTAATAGGCCACGATACTATTGTTCCACACAGTACCTATAAATCACAAACGCACCGAGGCAATTGAAGAATTAGAAAAATTAATTAATTTACTTATTACTACATTAAATTAAACTAATGTTTTATAATATTTTTGATCTGATGAAATCACTACCATTCAATCAAAGAGGAGATCGCAGGTTCGACTCTCATCTTCAATCTCATTCCAAAAACATATTTTATAATTGTAGAATACTCTCCAATACCATTTTCCCTCAATATATGCTTTGAATTCATGTGTAAGTTGCAATATCATTCTCTATCCTATTAATACACTTCACTTTTTCTCACGGTTTTTTTTATTCTCATATCTTGCTTATCACACCTAAGTAACAACAATCATCTCTCCTTCATCATGTTTGTATGAAATTTTCTTTCATTGTTTTCTTTTAAATAGTTCAAGATCAGATATTTTGGGAAATGCAATTGCAAAAGATATCAGCAATGCAAGGTGGGAGATTCACATAATCTATAGTCTGTATATTCATATTTTAAATATTATCTTTTGAAATATAATGTAATTTTAAAACTTCTTATTTCTTTGACAATTTAAACTCTAATGCATTAGAAATTGTAACTCGTGTATGATGCATGTAAATAATTATTTATCTTTATGTTACATTGCTTTTCGAGATATGCCAACTAGACTGAAGGGTAAGTTTTATCGAACAACAATTAGGTTTGCATTAATGCATGGCGTGGAGTGTTCGGCGGTGAAGCAATGTCACATTCAAAAGATGAGTGTGGCAGAGATGCGTACGTTGCGTTGGATGTGTGGACATACCAGAAAAGACCGTTTGAGGAATGAGATAATCAGACAAAATGTGGGAGTAGCACCTGTAGAAGATAAGATGCAGGAGTCTCGTTTGCGGTGGTTTAGACATGTGCGTAGAAGACCGGTGATGCACCTGTTAGAAGACTTGAGGGGTGGGGAGAAGAGGTAGAGAAGAGAGGGAGGGGAAGACCCAAACAGACTTGGGTTAGAGGTATCAGAACTGATATGCGTCTCCTTAGGTTGGATGAGAGTATGGCTTTGGAGAGAGCAAAGTGGAGGGCGCACATCCGTGTGGACGCCTGATGTCTTTTTTACCTTTCCTCTCTTTCTTCTTTTATCGTTTATCTTCCTTACCTTTGTTTATTCTTATGTTATTTTTATATTCTAGCTTTTGTATGATCTTTTTTTATCTTTTATCTTTCTTATATTATTGTGTTGTTGTTATCTTTTATTTATCTTTATTTTATTCGTTTTATCTTACTTTTTTTCTTCTCTTTCTTGTCAATATTCTCTGCTTGGCATCGATATCATTGATCGATTCATGTTAGCCGATCCCAAATTCTTTTGGGATCAAGGCTTGGATGTTGTTGTTGTTGTATGTATGTTACATTGCTTTCTACAAGTTATATATAGTAATATTTACTCCAAATATCGTAATGTATAAGTAGTAATATACTTCTAAAATCCTATAAAATCATGAAGAAAGTAAATCATGCATAAATGAGATGGCTAGATTTTCTAAAAATGTGCTAAAATTGTAACATTGAGTGTTGATTGCATCATAAAATTGTAATAATTTATGGTGAATGAGTATGTTTTATACGGAGTAACTTATAACCGGTAGATTGTCATACATTTATGAATTGTGTAATGTTAAGTGGTGTTGCTGATATGGGTTTCAGTGATTTTAAATTTACGATGAATTTCAGATTCTCTCGAATTACAGCTCCAATGGTTTCATTAAGTTTCGGGGCGTTCCCAATTGAATATCCTATTATATCTTATTAAAGTTTAGGTGCCCTTAATTTTTAGTGGAGATCGAAGTGCATAATAACTTTATTTTTAGAGGATTCAACTTGAAAAAAATTCAAGTTATTATGCACCTCGATTAATGCAATCCCCTTAAATATTAGAGGAAGAAATCTTGATTGAAATTCAAGTTATTATGCACCTTTTTTAAATAGGGGTGGACTCGGGCCGACTGGCCCGACCCGGAACTGACACTGTGCTGAACCGACTCGGCCCGGTGGCCCGGCCAGTGACCGGTCCGGGTAGGCCCGGCCCGGGGGTCCCCGGTGCGGGCTCGGGTCACCCAAAAACCGAACCGGCCCGGCCGGTTCTGTGACACCTCGAAAATTTTAAATAAGATAATTAAAATTTATTAGTTAGCAAAATGTTACGAAAGGAACATTTTAATAATTAAGTGGATCAAATAAAATTTTAACACAAGTGACATTTTTAATCAGATAAAAAAATGTTTCAATAATAAAAGTGACGACTTTATAATAATTAGGTTGAACAGATAGGACCTTGACTTAAATAACAAAAGTGACATTTTTGTAACAAATGATAATTACACATTTATAATAAAAGTGACATTTTAACAATTTTTAATCAGTTAATAATATATGTATAAAAATACACCAAATACCACGTAAAAATAACAATGTTAATAGTGGTGGCTTTTTCAAACCCAATATCAATACTTCGTCAATAACAATGTACATACACATAATACTTCGTAATATATATATATATATATATATATATATATATATATATATATATATATATATATATATATATATATATATATATATATATATATATATATGTTGTATGCACGTAATATCAATAGTATATATAACAATGAATGCACATCACAATAATATATACATGTACTTAATTAAGGTAGGACAAGTAATAGCAATAATATACCGTACTATATGTACCTGTGGACTACACCTTCACATGCATCCATTTGGCCGAACATTGCATCTAACCTTTACTAAGATAATACGGAGTAATAAAAATAATAATAATAATAAGTGAACCCAAATAACCCACGCATGCGTAATACGTATAACCCATAACACATGCACATGCGGCATTGATACTGATTAAAGAAATGAGCTGGCTTGATAAAATATGAACGGGCCGAACTGCAAATTACTTACTTATATTATGTATAGGATACTCACGCCATAGCCAATTCTACAAACCAAAAACCTTATGACACGAGGTCCGCGAGAAGGAGAGAAAAGAAAAAAAAAGGAAGTGAGAGGGAAGGATAGAAAGATACGGAGTAGCTTAGAACGCGAAACCGAAACCGCCGGGAGGAGAAGCAAAGTCGTCGGATCACTTTCAGAAGGAGGGGGAGTCGCCAGAGGGCCACAACCCACAGTGCCACCATGGGAGACGAGGTAATAAGCTCCGTTGGAAACCTCGACCGGGTTACCGCATCAACCAGTGCATGAAGCGGGTTGAACGCTGCTGCCGTCACCAGTAGAAGGAAGAACCAAAGCCGCCGCAAGGAGAGGGTCGTTATTATAGCCGCCACAGAGAGAGAAGGATCACCCGTAGAGTTTTCCGTCAAGCAAACTGTCTGTCGGCTCCGTCGGAGAAGACGAAGAAGAGTACTTACGGTACTTCTTCTCTGTGTTTAATATCTTGGACAGTTTATCTAACTTGGGCCACCTAGATTAATTAATATAGAAAGTATAGAGAATGGCTGTTTTTGGAACTACGGAGTATTAATTAAGGCTGGCCGAAAAGTCTTAATGGTTGGACTGAATAATAACGATGATAATAATAAAAGCAATTGGGCTAGGAGAAATTGGATAAAATGCAAAAGAACATGGAATAAAATACTGATTATGAAATTTTATTAATTAAAAGGTAGTCGCGGTGAAGATCGATATAACAACTCGAATAGGAGTGACACGAAACGAGGTAAGTTTCTCTGCCAATCCAAAATCGTTTCCTCGTATTATATATGTATTATGTGATACGTGATTTTAATGTGAGTTATGATGTATATGCATGTGCTTTTGAGATTTGTTCGATCTGTGATATTTAAGAAGTGAAACTAAGTGCTTTTGGGTGTTAAATATTTTATTTAAACATTTCCGAGACAGTTTGAGAAATTGAGGAATATTTTGAAGTATATTAAATCAAGATAAAAGAATGATTTCATAAAAAGTGAGCACCACGGGAGAAATCCGTGGTGTCGGTTTTCCACATCCGGATAAATGTGGAGGGTGATTAGAGTGGCTACTACTAAGAAGTACAGTTTGAGTAACTTTCGGATCGATGATCCCTTTTAAGAAGGAGAGTTGTGGTAGTAGTAGTAGTTCCGACGTAAAAAGGCTGCTACTGCTAAGGATGAGGATAAGTTTTGACTGATAATTGGATCGATGATCCCTTTTAAAGTTGTAGTAGTAGTCCCTAATCATTCAAGAATTTTAAAGGTGGGGTGGTTGGGTTCCGACCACTCGGGATGACTTACTACTCGGAGGGCTTGGAATCCCTTTTAGGGGGTGTGCACACTTAAGGTAGTCGTTTCGTTTCCGCATTAGCAGTTGTGGTGCCGGCAAAAGTCCCGGGGTGGCCGTACATAATAACGTAACCACCGGGCTCAACCAGAGTGTTGAGTACCGCCATTCTAAATTACTAGGAAGTTAGAAAGATTGGGATTTTGAAAATCCAAAGAGAAGAAGAGTTTACAATTTAAGAAGTGACTTTTGAGGTGATACTTAGAAAAGAAGAATTTATTAATAAAGAAGTAATTTTTTTTGAAGTGAATAAAAGAGAAAAGAATTTTGGTGGAGTGTGTCATTTTTATATAGTATTATATGAAAAAATATTTTTCGCCAAACCTGATTATTTTACGGGGTTGGGTAGTATTTACTTAGCTCTAAAGCTAATTTTTGTTTTCTTTTCTTTGTTTTGTTTTCTGCACTTTATTTGTGCAGGTGATGATGACTATGTTGATTGTTGATTCCATGCGTCCGAGAGCGGTTGCTAGATGCCTTAGTAAAACCTAGACATGAATGAACTTTTTAGTTACGTTGAACATTTGTTTCTTCACATCACAATTAATTATGACTGTTTTGTTTTAGTTGCCTGTGCATCCGGTTAAGAGATGACCGGATGTGGTGGTAACACCCGTTTTCCCTATTTAAATTATTTCCGCTGCAAGATTTTTATCAATTTCGAATGAATAAAGCAAGTTTATTATCAATAAATTATTATTTCAAGTATTATTTTTGGGCGGGAAATTGGGGGTGTTACAAATTGGTATCAGAGACTTTAGTTTTTCGAAGGGATTAGGACACGAGGTAATAGGTCGTAGGGAGAAATTCTGTCACAAAGACGACAACAGTCTAAGCTGGTTGGTGCATAATTGAGCCTTTGCGCTCGTCCAACTAACTGGGAATTTCTCCTTGTGCTGAAACTTCGTTGTTCAAAATCTTTGACGAAAACTATGGTCTCGAAGCGGGGATTTTCAAAATGTTTTCTTAAAAAAAAAACTAGGAGAATGAACATACTAGGAAATTGGCCTTTCTAGGAACGCGGTGAGGGGGGGAACCTTTGCGATACTATTGAATTATGAAATGCCTGAGATTCATGCCTCTGTGAAGTATGTGGAATATGTGATACACTGTATGTGCAATCTGTTATAAGAATATGAAGTTAGTAAAGAATTTGTATGATGTAGAAGTCTTATGTATGCCTTAATACTTAGTATTGGTTTTCTTTATTAAGAATCATGCCGCCAAGAAGAAACCCCGTTACGACCCCAACCGTTGAGGAGTTGGCCCAAACTATTCAACAAATGGCACGACATATCGGAGCGGCTCAACCCCAGAACAATGGGATTGACTACGCTACAAGGGTAGACGGGCGTAACCCCCCGAAATATCTGGGCGAGGAGGACCATCTTATCCTGGAGGACTGGGTTCGTACCTTTGACAAACTCTTTGACTCCCTCACCTGCCCGTGGGAGCAACGAGTAAATATTGCGGTGTATTACCTACACCAAGAAGCTGACCATTGGTGGGCCGCCAATGGACCAACACTTCTCGAGCAACCGGGCTTTTGCTGGGAGGACTTCAAAGTAGCACTACGTGACCGTTTCTACCCCGATCACGTGAAAGAGGCAAATTACGACGAATTCGTCAATTTCAAGCAAGGTGACCTGACTGTTCAAGAGTACCACACGAAGTTCGTCCAATTGGCTCGTTTCGCCAAAGACCTGGTGTCAACCGAGGGCAGTATGACACGCAGATTTGTTAACGGGCTTAACTACGGTGCCCAAAAGTTTGTGACTGTAGCAGAGCCACGAAATCTGAACGAAGCATATAGGAAGGCTGGTAAGTACTACATGGTACACCAGAAGGAGAGGGAGGCACATAAGAGGGATCGTAAGAACGCTGAGGTGGAGCAGCAGCACAAGAAGGCCAGAACTGACCACCCTGAGCCCCGACAAAACAATCAAGGCGGGAGAATATTCCAAGGCCAGGGTCAGGGGAGAAACCAGCCTAACCAGACACGGTATTACAAGTGCAAACTCTGCCCGAACAACCACCCTGGAGCAGATTGTGCAGGTAATCCGGTGAAGTGCTACAACTGCAACCTCATGGGGCATAGGGCATATGAGTGCCGGAAGGAGAAGAGGCCCCAAACCCAGGGCCAAAACCAAGGGATGTACAATCAGGGGAATGGCCAAGCCGGGGGTGGGGGTAATCACGTTAACAGTAACCGTGGTAACCTCGGCACCCGTCCAACGGAAGGCAACCGTAACCAGGGCCAGCAAGGGCAGAACAATAACCAAGGCCGAATCTATGTCATGAACCAAGCTCAGGCAAATGCCAACGACGTGGTGTCAGGTACATTCCTTGTAAATTCCACACCTGTTCATGTACTGTTTGATTCGGGTGCATCCCACAGTTTTATATCCTCAAAACTTGTGGAAAAGTTAAAGTTAGAACCTACCGCTACACTCAATCTTAATGTAAAAACAACATCTAATAAAGTTGTAGCTTGCGGGAGTGTTTTCTCCAATGTTTCTATAGTCATATCCGATACCGAACTACCCGGAGATCTAATCCAATTTGACTTGGAGGATATTGACGTGGTGTTGGGAATGGACTGGCTAGGAAAATATAAGGCGAAGATTCTTTGCGATGAACAAAAGGTGGTCTTGAGAGGACCCCACAAGAAGCGTGTATCCTACAAAATGGTTACATCTCAGCCGGGCGTGAAGCTGACAACCATGCACCAAGTCAAACGATACGTCCGGAAGGGGTATGAAGTTTACTTATGCATGATCCAAGACTTAACATCGGAAGAGTCGACCATTGACCAAATTCCTGTGGTCAATGAATTTCCGGATGTACTTCCGGAAGAAATTCCAGGGATGCCGCCGGAGAGGGAAGTCGAGTTTTCAATTGATCTGATGCCAGGCACCGCACCCATTTCGAAGGCACCATACCGAATGGCACCAAAAGAAATGCAGGAGCTGAAGGAACAACTCGAAGAACTGTTGGAGAAGGGATACATCAAACCGAGTGTCTCACCGTGGGGCGCTCCGGTCTTGTTTGTAAAGAAGAAGGATGGGAGCTTGAGACTCTGCATCGATTATAGGGAGTTGAACAAAGCAATCGTCAAAAACAAATATATGTTGCCTCGAATTGATGACCTCTTTGATCAACTGAAGGGGGCTAGCATGTTCTCCAAAGTTGATCTGAGATCCGGGTACCATCAAGTGAGGATTGCTGAGAAAGACACTCCGAAGACAGCTTTTCGAACGAGGTACGGGCACTATGAGTTCACCGTGATGCCGTTCGGACTAACAAATGCACCTGCGGTGTTTATGGATCTCATGAACCGTGTATTCCGACCCTACCTCGACTTTTTTACTATTGTATTCATCGACGACATCCTGGTGTACTCTAAGACACCAAAAGAGCACGAAGAACATTTGAGGATAGCACTGCAAACATTGAGAGAGAATCAGCTCTATGCCAAACTCTCAAAGTGTGAATTCTGGAAGGATCGGGTAGCATTCTTGGGCCACATCATCACCCAAGAAGGTGTATCCGTTGATCCATCAAAGATCGAAGCAGTGTTAGACTGACCTACACCCACAACCGTGATAGAGGTCCGGAGCTTCCTAGGCTTGGCGGGCTATTATCGCAGATTCGTGAAGGATTTCTCAAAGATAGCAAAACCTTTGACTAACCTCACGAAGAAGACCACGAAATTCATATGGGGTGAGGAATGCAAGAAGGCTTTCCAGGAGCTTAAGCAAAGATTAACAACCGCACCTATCTTAACCCTACCATCCGGTACTGAGGGGTTCGAGGTTTACACCGATGCTTGCCTAAAAGGGTTGGGTTGCGTATTGATGCAAAATGGCAAAGTGGTGGCCTATGCATCAAGACAACTGAAGACCCATGAGGTCAACTACCCGACCCATGACTTGGAACTGGCAGCGGTTATCTTCGCCTTAAAACTATGGAGGCACTATCTATATGGAGTACAGTGTAAAATTTACACCGATCACAAGAGCCTAAAGTACATCTTCACTCAAAAGGAGCTTAACATGAGACAAAGACGTTGGCTAGAACTCGTCAAAGACTATGACTTGGAAATTCAGTACCATGAAGGGAAAGCAAACGTAGTTGCCGATGCGTTGAGCCGAAAATCAACCCACTCCTGCAGAGCAACATGGATCCTCCCTAACGAGCTATATCGAGACTTTCAGAAGCTAGACTTGGAAGTGCGGGATGTCGGAGAGGTAGACCGGGAAACGCGGTTACTTACCATGACCGTTACCCCATCTATTTTCGACGATATTAGAGAAGGGCAGCCTGGTGACATAAAGCTGGACAGAATCCGAGCAGGCATGACAAATGGTGTAAATGGACCGTTCAAACTGCACGAAGACGGGAGCATTCGACACAAAGGAAGGTGGTGTGTCCCGATGAAATGTGAAGAACTTAAGAAGAAAATTATGGAGGAAGGGCACAACACGCCTTACTCGGTGCACCCTGGAGGCGACAAACTCTACAAAGACATCAAAAAGAACTTTTGGTGGCCAAAGATAAAAAAAGAGGTAGCTGAATTCGTTGCTCGATGCTTGAACTGCCAGAAGGTGAAAGCCGAACGTTGCAAACCCAAGGGACTCGTACAACCTTTGGAGGTGCCAAAATGGAAATGGGATTCCATCTCCATGGACTTTGTTGGGGGCTTACCCCTAACCAAGTCTGGCAAAGACAAGGTTTGGGTTATAGTTGATCGGTTAACGAAGACCGCTCGCTTTATCCCGATGAAAGAGACCTGGAGCATGGAGGAGTTAGCTCGAGCCTACATCAAACACATAGTTAAATACCATGGAGTTCCACAAGATATTGTTTCTGACCGTGATTCTAGGTTTCTATCTCAATTCTGGAAGGAATTGCAAGCTGCTCTGGGGACGAAACTGAAGCTGAGTACAGCCTTTCACCCAACCACTGATGGACAAACTGAGCGAACAATCCAAACACTCGAGGACATGCTGAGAGCATGTATGTTAGACCTACAAGGGTCGTGGGACGAGCACTTAGACTTAATAGAGTTTTCATACAACAATAGCTACCACACCAGTATCAAAATGGCCCCGTACGAAGCTTTATACGGTCAAAAGTGTAGAAGTCCACTATACTGGAGCGACTTAACAGACAAGGTGGTGTTAGGGCCAGAATACCTACATGACACCATAGAGAAGGTGAAGCTGATTCAAGCCAGGATGAAAGCTGCACAAGATCGTCAGAAGTCTTACGCAGACTTGGGGAGGAAGCCAGCCGAATTCGAGGTGGGAGAAAAAGTCCTACTCAAAGTCTCCCCGACGAAGGGAGTAATGAGATTCAGAAAGAAGGGAAAGCTAAGCCCGAGGTTCATCGGCCCGTATGATATCCTCGAACGAGTGGGACGATTGGCATACCGTTTAGCTTTACCGATAGAGTTGGCTAAGGTAAGACACACCTTAAAACCTCTCAATAGTAAATATAATAGTAATTCCTCTCAAATACTAACTTGTGATATACTTAGGTACACAACGTTTTCCATATTTCACAATTGAAGAAGTATGTCCGCGACGAATCACATATCCTTAACCCTGAGGTACAAATAATCACCTTACAATATTTGTAATCAAATTCCACATGTCTAACATCGACTTAATTAGGTGGTCGAGTTGGACGAAACATTGACTTATGAGGAAACGCCTATCCAGATCCTTGATACCAAAACTCGTGAGACTAGGAGAAAGTCAGTTAAAATGGTAAAGGTATTGTGGTCTAACCACTTGGCCGAAAACGCCACTTGGGAGTCCGAAGATGATATGCGTAACCGCTATCCAGAGTTATTTGACTAAGGTAACGTTTTGGTTACGAGAACGTAACCTTGTTTTTAGAGGGGTAGAATGTAATACCAGTTAAATTATAGGATATTTTATTAGCTTATGCTTCGGGACGAAGCATCTTTAAGGGGGGTAGAATGTGACACTCCATAAACTTAATAAAAAGGATTTAATATTAAAGATGTGATATTCATTTGTGGATAAATCTTCTTTAGTTTATGTTTCGAGACGAAACATCTTTTAAGAACGGTAGAATGTGACACCTCGAAAATTTTAAATAAGATAATTAAAATTTATTAGTTAGCAAAATGTTACGAAAGGAACATTTTAATAATTAAGTGGATCAAATAAAATTTTAACACAAGTGACATTTTTAATCAGATAAAAAAATGTTTCAATAATAAAAGTGACGACTTTATAATAATTAGGTTGAACAGATAGGACCTTGACTTAAATAACAAAAGTGACATTTTTGTAACAAATGATAATTACACATTTATAATAAAAGTGACATTTTAACAATTTTTAATCAGTTAATAATATATGTATAAAAATACACCAAATACCACGTAAAAATAACAATGTTAATAGTGGTGGCTTTTTCAAACCCAATATCAATACTTCGTCAATAACAATGTACATACACATAATACTTCGTAATATATATATATATATATATATATATATGCTGTATGCACGTAATATCAATAGTATATATAACAATGAATGCACATCACAATAATATATACATGTACTTAATTAAGGTAGGACAAGTAATAGCAATAATATACCGTACTATATGTACCTGTGGACTACACCTTCACATGCATCCATTTGGCCGAACATTGCATCTAACCTTTACTAAGATAATACGGAGTAATAAAAATAATAATAATAATAAGTGAACCCAAATAACCCACGCATGCGTAATACGTATAACCCATAACACATGCACATGCGGCATTGATACTGATTAAAGAAATGAGCTGGCTTGATAAAATATGAACGGGCCGAACTGCAAATTACTTACTTATATTATGTATAGGATACTCACGCCATAGCCAATTCTACAAACCAAAAACCTTATGACACGAGGTCCGCGAGAAGGAGAGAAAAGAAAAAAAAAGGAAGTGAGAGGGAAGGATAGAAAGATACGGAGTAGCTTAGAACGCGAAACCGAAACCGCCGGGAGGAGAAGCAAAGTCGCCGGATCACTTTCAGAAGGAGGGGGAGTCGCCAGAGGGCCACAACCCACAGTGCCACCATGGGAGACGAGGTAATAAGCTCCGTTGGAAACCTCGACCGGGTTACCGCATCAACCAGTGCATGAAGAGGGTTGAACGCTGCTGCCGTCACCAGTAGAAGGAAGAACCAAAGCCGCCGCAAGGAGAGGGTCGTTATTATAGCCGCCACAGAGAGAGAAGGATCACCCGTAGAGTTTTCCGTCAAGCAAACTGTCTGTCGGCTCCGTCGGAGAAGACGAAGAAGAGTACTTACGGTACTTCTTCTCTGTGTTTAATATCTTGGACAGTTTATCTAACTTGGGCCACCTAGATTAATTAATATAGAAAGTATAGATAATGGCTGTTTTTGGAACTACGGAGTATTAATTAAGGCTGGCCGAAAAGTCTTAATGGTTGGACTGAATAATAACGATGATAATAATAAAAGCAATTGGGCTAGGAGAAATTGGATAAAATGCAAAAGAACATGGAATAAAATACTGATTATGAAATTTTATTAATTAAAAGGTAGTCGCGGTGAAGATCGATATAACAACTCGAATAGGAGTGACACGAAACGAGGTAAGTTTCTCTGCCAATCCAAAATCGTTTCCTCGTATTATATATGTATTATGTGATACGTGATTTTAATGTGAGTTATGATGTATATGCATGTGCTTTTGAGATTTGTTCGATCTGTGATATTTAAGAAGTGAAACTAAGTGCTTTTGGGTGTTAAATATTTTATTTAAACATTTCCGAGACAGTTTGAGAAATTGAGGAATATTTTGAAGTATATTAAATCAAGATAAAAGAATGATTTCATAAAAAGTGAGCACCACGGGAGAAATCCGTGGTGTCGGTTTTCCACATCCGGATAAATGTGGAGGGTGATTAGAGTGGCTACTACTAAGAAGTACAGTTTGAGTAACTTTCGGATCGATGATCCCTTTTAAGAAGGAGAGTTGTGGTAGTAGTAGTAGTTCCGACGTAAAAAGGCTGCTACTGCTAAGGATGAGGATAAGTTTTGACTGATAATTGGATCGATGATCCCTTTTAAAGTTGTAGTAGTAGTCCCTAATCATTCAAGAATTTTAAAGGTGGGGTGGTTGGGTTCCGACCACTCGGGATGACTTACTACTCGGAGGGCTTGGAATCCCTTTTAGGGGGTGTGCACACTTAAGGTAGTCGTTTCGTTTCCGCATTAGCAGTTGTGGTACCGGCAAAAGTCCCGGGGTGGCCGTACATAATAACGTAACCACCGGGCTCAACCAGAGTGTTGAGTACCGCCCTTCTAAATTACTAGGAAGTTAGAAAGATTGGGATTTTGAAAATCCAAAGAGAAGAAGAGTTTACAATTTAAGAAGTGACTTTTGAGGTGATACTTAGAAAAGAAGAATTTATTAATAAAGAAGTAATTTTTTTTGAAGTGAATAAAAGAGAAAAGAATTTTGGTGGAGTGTGTCATTTTTATATAGTATTATATGAAAAAATATTTTTCGCCAAACCTGATTATTTTACGGGGTTGGGTAGTATTTACTTAGCTCTAAAGCTAATTTTTGTTTTCTTTTCTTTGTTTTGTTTTCTGCACTTTATTTGTGCAGGTGATGATGACTATGTTGATTGTTGATTCCATGCGTCCGAGAGCGGTTGCTAGATGCCTTAGTAAAACCTAGACATGAATGAATTTTTTAGTTACGTTGAACATTTGTTTCTTCACATCACAATTAATTACGACTGTTTTGTTTTAGTTGCCTGTGCATCCGGTTAAGAGATGACCGGATGTGGCGGTAACACCCGTTTTCCCTATTTAAATTATTTCCGCTGCAAGATTTTTATCAATTTCGAATGAATAAAGCAAGTTTATTATCAATAAATTATTATTTCAAGTATTATTTTTGGGCGGGAAATTGGGGGTGTTACAGGTTCGAGCTCGGTTCCGGGCTTTTTTTCAATTTTTTTAACTTTTCATGTTGGACTGGGTATTTTGGGCCATTTGGGGTGGTTTGGAGGGTTGGGGTGGGAGGAGGGTTAATTAGGAAAAGGAAAAAAAATTGACCCAAGGCCCGGTCCGGTCCCGGGCCCACCTATTTAGAACCGGCGGCCCGCCCGGGCCTAGGCCCGACCCGGACCCAGCCCGACCCGAATCCACCCCTATTTTTAAAGATCCAGTTAAGAGGTGTATCATAAAATAAATAGAGAAGAACTCCTTTCCTCTCGTTAAAATTGTCTCATATTTCCTTTTCGTTCCATCCCATGTAGGTTGCCTGATATCGGCCAATTTTTGACTGATTTGGCTAATTTTTAGTTGTTTGACTAGATCAAACAACTAATTCAAGTGTTTGGTAAATGACGTTTTCATTTAACTTTTTGTTTCAAACAGCCAACATACAGGATCCTAGGGTTTACAAATTGGCCAATTGTTTTATGTTGTAGTTTACCAATTCTACCCACGTGAATCTGATATGTGTATTCTCCTCGTATGACTCACCTCGCCGCCGCCCATTCTTTTGATAATTGTCTCCCTTCCCTTTGCACCTCATATCCCCAATATTATTACTGTTCAATCTTATATAGGAATTGAATCATTTGGTAGTAAGCTTGTGTCATGGAAGAACATGTTATATACGGAGTATATTTATATTTGGTCGGAACTTCTATTTGTATAAGCTTGTAAAGAATCTTACAATGTATTTGAGTTTAATTCCAACTACGAGAGCTTACTCTACTAGAGCAGATAAATTTAGGCAACGGAAGACAGTATTATTATTCTGAAATTCGGATCCTTTTAGGATGTATACAAGAATTATTTATAGACCTTAGGTTAAAGTATTCTAAGAGGAAACTGATACATTTAATGCATTTAATTGTAATAAGAGTCTTGTAACGTCTCGAACGTGGTGCAATCATTGTTCCTCTAGGTCTATCTTTCTTCTGTTATTCCATGTCGTTGCCAGATAGCTATGTTCAAATGATAGTCTGCCACGTAAGCCCTAGGATGAGTCATCGGGAAGAAAAGTTTCTGAATGGTTTTAAAAACATTATTAGGAAGAAAAGTTTATAAATGGATGCAAAGTCAAATGATTTTTAAGTGACATAGGATGCAAAGTAAAAGTTTTTTGAAAATAGGGTGCAAAGTCTAATATCACCTAAAGAGTGAGGTGCAAAGTAAAACTTCAGATTTAAACAAACACTATTTTATAAAGAAATATTGCCCTAAAAGGGACTAAATTCTTCCTAAAACTCTTAAATAGGACTAATCATATTTTTTTGCCCTAAATAGGACTGGATTACCCATTTACCCTTATTCTTTCCCTTTCCCCTCTTCCTCGTCGTTTCTTTTTCTCCCCTGCGCACCCCTGCGCATCTTCTCCCCCTTCCCCCTGCGCATCTCCCCCCTGTGCAATACAACTTCTTCTCCCTTCCACTTCGAACTGGAACAACCAAAGTTTCGAGCCTGCCACCGCTGACGTGAAGTCCTCCGCCACTGCCCAGTCATAGCCATCACCGCCACCGTCACTGTCGCCGTCGGATATCTTCTTTTCTTCGAAGGTAGGTTCTCTCCTTCCTCCCCTCTTCTCTAGTTCTCTCCCTCTTCTATTTCGTTGCAGATGCTCGATTTCTTCTTTGATTGGTAAAAAATATCAAGTTCAACACTAAAATGCCATCAAAATGGCATTCTTATTTTACAAAAAAAAATGTATTTTCCTTTGAAAATACCATTACAATGGCATCCCTGATTCATCTTTTCGTTGCAGGACCAAAACTCTGTTTCATATTTGGTTGTTAAAAAAATTCCATATCTGATTTGAAAATGCCATAAAAATAACATTCATCCTCTTCAAAAATTTCATGTTTTCCTTTGAAAATGTCATTTAGATGGCATTCTCAATTTATGATGGCATTTTGATAAAATGTTGGCATAACCGGCGTCGTTGGCCGGATCTGCAGTGGCGGAGGCCGGGTGTGCAGCAGCGGAGGTCGGATTTGTAGTGACAACGGCGAAATCTGTAGGGGCGGCCAGGGGCTGGTGGCGGTGGCCAGATCTACGGTGTCGGCTGCCAGATCTGCGGCGGACGCAGCTAGATTTGCAGTGGCGACCATTCTGCAGCAGCGGCCGTCACCGGCGGCCGGCGACCTGAGGCGGTCCGGCGTTCTGTCGATGGCAGTAGGATTTCCAAGCTTCATGGGTGTTTTTGTCCAATTACAATTTATAACTCTTATTTTGGGAATTTTTAAACTTTAGTCCTATTTTGGCAATTAAAGATGTGCTTACTCCCATTTAGGTAATTACCTCTTTTATAAACCGCTAATATTATCGGCTAGTCAAAACCTCTCATTAGAACTCAAAACACCCTCAATGTCCATAACCGCAGGTCAAGATTAATGATATTGTGCAACTGAAAATAATTGAACAATTATTAATATTACAACGTGTTCTATTTTATTATTTTATTAATTAGCATATTCACATATTTACGTATCAAGTGATATTACTCCTATTATTGCATGGACCATGCAAGAGCCATCTTCTCTCTCCTGTGATGACTCATACCCCTTTGTTGTACTATATATATGCATGTACGCATAGTGTATACATAAGAAAGAGGAGAGTCATGTTCTCTGCTAACTTTTCTCTTCAATATAAATAAAATTATACTCCGTATCAGTTTTATTACATCAATTTTATCATGGTATCAGAGCATAAATCCTGAAAGCAAAGTATTTGCTTTTCTCTATAATTTTTTTTCTCTCTTCTCCTTAGAGAGCAATTATGGAGGTTGATCGTTCAACCGTCAACATTTACCAGGAGACTACAATATCTTTTTCTTTTGGAGCCCAAATGAATATGGCATATACATTGCCACATGTCCGTCCTTGGATAATTGTTTCCGGAGCTAGTGAACATATCACTTGTAGTGATATTAACCTTTTTGATATCATGAATCACACCCCACAACCACCGGTCAGAATCCCTAACGGCGAATCAATTCCAATTCATGTCATTGGTAGTTTATAGTTACCCAATGGGCTCCATCTTAAGCGTGTTCTATACATTCCGGAATTTCAGTGCAACCTACTATCAGTCAGTCGCCTAACAAGCGGCCTAAACTGTACACTAACATTTTTCTCAGACTTCTGCATTTTACAGGATTTATCCACGAGGAAAATTATTGTCGTGGGTAAATTTCATGATGGTATCTACTATCTAGAATCTCCTAGGAATGATGGGGTTGCAATGTCAGTGTCTATTACCTCTGATTTATGGCATCAACGTTTGAGACATGCATCCGATGAAAAGATATATCACATTAATTCCCTCAAAGGTTTTCGACGGAACAATAATTTTTGTGATTCCTGTATTCGTGCTAAGCAGACCAGGTTACCCTTTCCCAAAAGTGGGATTAAGACAACTCGCTGTTTTGAACTGATACATTGCGACATTTGGTGACCTTATAGGTGTGATTCAACCTCCGAAGCACGGTATATCCTATCCATTGTTGATGATTTTTCTAGGGGTGTATGGGTTTATTTAATGAAAAATAAATCTGAAGTTGCTCAACTTTTAATTCAATTTTACAACATGGTTGATACCCAATTTGAACAAAAGGTTAAAAGAATACGAGCAGATAATGATGTAGAATTTCAAACCAACATTCTATTTGATTGCTATGGACGCGCTAGGATATTATTGGAAACATCATGCACAGACACACCTCAACAAAATGGAGTTGTAGAGCATTAACACAGACACATATTGAAAGTAGCAAGGGCATTACGTTTTGAGTCTGGATTGCCTATTAATTTTTGGGGAGAATGCATTTTGACTGCTGTTTACATTATTAATAGGCTTCCTTCGCTCATCATTCAAAACAAGAGTCCTTTTGAAATGTTATTTGGGAAAGTGCCTAACTATGAGCACTTGAGAGTGTTCGGGTGTTAGGTATATGCACACGACAATAAAAGAAAAGATAAATTCAGTGAAAGGGGGAGTCCTTGCATATTTATGGGTTATCCACATGGTCAAAAGGCATATCGAGTTTTTTATTTGCAAAAACACAGTATCTATAACTCGCGAGGCGTGACTTTTTATGAAGAAAAATTTCCATTTAAAATCATTCTCGATCAAGATCTTGATTTTCCTCTCCTTGTTGATAAAGTTTACAACCATATATTATCTCATGAGTACCCCACAGAGCAGAGGCACAACTCACATGTGAGTACCGGTCTACATCCAATTATTATACGAGGACAAAATTCATGTGAGGATCAACTCACAGTAACTCGTCCCGATATTGTTTATTCTATTAGTCAAAACTCAGTCAATTTCTCAGCCGCCCACGTCAAACACACCTTGATGCGGCAACACATGTTCTGCGGTATCTGAAAGAAACACCGAGTCAAGGAATCTTTCTATCATCAGAATCTGACTTCACGCTTCGAGGTTATTGTGACGCAGATTGGGCAGGTTGCTCTTTTACTCGCAGATCTAGTACCGGTTACTTCATCACCCTTGGTAACTCACCTGTTTCTTGGTGGACAAAGAAACAATCTGTTGTATCTCGATCTTTTGCGGAAGCAGAATACCGTGCTATGACGGTAACATTCAACGAGATTTTGTGGTTGCGATGGTTACTTCAGGATTTTCTAGTTCCTCAAGAAGGTCCCACATCACTTTACTGTGATAATCAAGTTGCTCGACATATTGCGCTTAATCCAGTTTTTCATGAACGTTCTAAACATGTTGAGATAGACTGTTATTTAATTTTGTCCGAGAAAGAGTTGCCACTAATGAGATTCAACCACTATCCATCTCCACAACCAATCAAGTTGGTGATATATTCACAAAAGCCTTGGGTACTGACCGATTTCAATTTCTTCGAAGCAAGTTGGGTGTTCAGAATCTTCACACTCCACCTTGAGGGGGAGTATTACAACATGTTCTATTTTATTATTTTATTAATTAGCATATTTACATATTTAGGTATCAAGTGATATTACTCCTATTATTGCATGGACCATGAAAGAGCCATCTTCTCTCTCTTGTGATGACTCATACCCCTTTGTTGTACTATATATATACATGTACGCATAGTGTATACATAAGAAAGAGGAGAGTCATGTTCTCTCCTAACTTTTCTCTTCAATATTAATAAAATTATACTCCCTCCGTCCCTTAAAACTTTGCCATCTTTCCTTTTTGAGACGTCTCAAAAAACTTTATCACTTTCTCTTTTAATCAATTATTTTGTGATTTCTGTTATTTCTCTCTCCTCTGAAGAAATCTCAACCACACATTTTTTACTTTATTATTCTCCGTCCCGGTCAACTTTGGCAAAGTTTTAAGGGATGGAGGTAGTACTCCGTATCAGTTTTATTACATCAATTTTATCAATTAATACTATGCAGAAGGATTAATTTGCTAAAAAAATAATTCAGTCACTTGGGTCATAGATATTCAATATTGAGATTGAGCTTATTATCGGTGGGCGTAGCTCAATTGGTAGCGAGGGAGTGCCCCACTTTTTATCGGTCAGATTGTGATTACAGTCCAATTTACATCCTCCCAACGTATCGTACGGTCAAGGTTGTGGATCCTTTTTTTGTTGAGACTAGTTACTCTACCCGTGCGTTGCACGGGGTTAAGTACATTATAAATGCAATTATATGGAAATAAAAAAACTTGATAGTAATTCAATAAACTCAAAATATTAAATAGATTACAAAGTAAGATGTCATTATAAAGCAGAAGCAGAATTGATTTTCAAAATCTGGTTTCTCCCTACTTCTAAAAAACCGATTCTAAGAGTAAATTAGAGCTCCAGAAGTACTTTTGCACTTTCATCCAAACACTCCAGCTTCTGCTTCTACTCTCTGAGGGAGCAGAAGCAGTTTTAAGAACAAGATCCAAACACCGCCATAATAGCAAATTAAAAAATAAATTGTAGACATGAAATGGAAATATCATATGATGCAAAATATGTACATGTAAGTCTATAAAATTGTTAAAGGAAACTACAAATTATTAAAAATGTCTATTTATGCAACATCAACTCGGATGGACTTGTTATTCGCCACATACACCTGTTGATATGTAAGAAGTGTCAGAGCAATGGAAAAAGATGATAACCTTTTCCAACGATTGATCCCCACATTTCTTGTTAATGATATTATTACATATTCAATAATAGATGTTTAAAGTTCATTTTAAAGTTTGCTAATAAACAGTTACACACATGGAGTTTGAAATTATTGTTTCGGTTGGTGCATTTAAGAAATAAAAGACAATAGAAGGGTCAGAGGACCAGACTGGATAGAGGGGATTCAAATGGTATAGTGAAGATTTGAGCACTTTGGATGTAAGATTGTCTGGGAGAAGAAGTAAATTGTAACGTGCATTGAGCTTGACTCAAAAGCTTCTCTGCGGTTCCTTAAAGCAGAAGTAAATCACTCTTTCACTTTTAATAAAAGATAAAGAAACTAAAGAGATCAAAGGCACAAAAAAACTTCCAGCAACTGAGTCAAATAGCCCATTCAAAGAACTATTATCTTCAAATTCAATCACATTTTATGTTTAATTAAACTCACATGTATTTTTACATCACCTAAATGAGTTCAAACAACCCATTAAAGATAAACAAACTAAACAAACTTTTGACAAAACAAAGGTATCTGAAAAGTTGCTGAAAGTTATTATGGTAGCAAGCCACAATCTGATGGAGATGAGTATAAATGGAGAGAGAAAAGCAACATTCAGAAAAAAGGTCCCTGCTACATACTGCTGCTAAGCTGAATGCAGATTTGGAGAGGGAAATATTTTAGGTGCATTTAGGGAAGAAATGTTAGATAGCATTCAACGTTGAAACACAAAACAATTCAAAAAAAAGTAGTGGAAAACTTGTTCTTTGAGATAGAATTTTTTAAAACCATATATATTCATTAGAGAATGTTCATTAAAACTGCTATGGTTATTAAAGAATAATTTTAAGAATTTGTGGGGTTTTAATGAATATGTATGGTTTTAATGAATATATATATTCTTTTTATACATCATGAAAAGAACCCAATTACTAACCAATTACAGGTTTAAGGGTCATCATGTTACTCATAAGTCACAATGAGATTTATGGTTTATGAGGAAGTTCATTCCTTGTTATCCACCTTCCTGCATCACCCCTTTGCCCCATTAGGCAAATCTGCATATATAGATTATCCACACAGTTCATAAACAAATTTTAAGAAATGAAATAATGAACCTCAATGATCAATAATAGTGAGTTCAGGCCCTTACAGACAAAAACAACAACGCAAAAGGAAGCAAAAATTGCAGGCGCGGATGAAGAATATATGTGTTCATTAAAACCATATATATTCATTACAAATATGTTCTTTAATGAACATATTGCATCATAAAATAGGGATGGAACCATTTAGTAGAGTAATACTCTGTAACTAAATAAGAGAGATGAACATCTAGGACTCTTTTTTCAATTTAAATTATAAAAATATGTGTATGATCATCTCTAAATTAGTATAATATTACTACACAAGATGGGTGAATACCTCTATTAATGTTCATCTCCAGTTTGCTCAGGCGGTGATGCTTCATTGGCGAGAGAGCCGTGGCTACCACCATTCCCAGTACCTTCTTTTCCTTGTGGCGACGGAAGGAAAGAATACGGTAGTAAAGACTTGTTGCAGCGGCAGATTACAGAAACTGAAAGAAGTTGAAAGACTGAAAGAGGATCACAGAGCCAAGGATAAGTGATATAAGGAAAGAAGGAAGTGAACGTGAATGGTGCAGATAGTTTTAAAATGAACGGTGGAGATCAATTTGTACTCCTGTTAAGTATAGAGGAGTAAGAGGACTCCAGCAATTATACTGAGCTGATGTGAGACATCTATACTTAGGCCGTAAAATCACTCTTTCACTTTTAATAAAAGATAAAGAAACTAAAGAGATCAAAGGCACAAAAAAACTTCCAGCAACTGAGTCAAATAGCCCATTCAAAGAACTATTATCTTCAAATTAAATCACATTTGATGTTTAATTAAACTCACATGTGTTTTTACATCACCTAAAAGAGTTCAAACAACCCATTAAAGATAAACAAACTAAACAAACTTTTGACAAAACAAAGGTATCTGAAAAGTTGCTGAAAGTTATAATGGTACCAAGCCACAATCTGATGGAGATGAGTATAAATGGAGAGAGAAAAGCAACATTCAGAAAAAAGGTCACTGCTACATACCGCTACTAAGCTGAATGCAAATTTGGAGAGGGAAATATCTTAGGTGCATTTAGGGAAGAAATGTTAGATAGCATTCAACGTTGAAACACAAAACAATTCAAAAAAAGTAGTGGGAAACTTGTTCTATGAGAGAGAATTTTTTAAAACCATATATATTCATTACAGAATGTTCATTAAAACTGCTATGGTTATTAAAGAATAATTTTAAGAATTTGTGTGGTTTTAATGAATATGTGTGGTTTTAATGAATATATATATTCTTGTTATACATCATGAAAAGAACCCAATTACTAACCAATTACAGGTTTAAGGGTCACCATGTTACTCATAAATCACAATGAGATTTAATGATTTATGCAATAATGAAAAATAACAAATTTGATTTGAACAAAATACCTATGTCGAGTGAACCATAACAAAGGACCAGACTGCGACTTTGTTATTATGGCAGATTTTTCTCTCTGAGGCTTCGCTAAAAACATGACAGGTTTAGGCATTTAGCTGCGGATGGGGTATTTTTTTATTCTTTTTCATGAGTTTGTTTCATGAGGCCTACATGATAAGATGTGCCAGCACACCACCAACATATGCTCAAACATCCCTACGAAAAATTTGGTCAAATAGGACCAAAAAGATATTAAATATAATTTATAATTATAATAGTAATACACGGGTACATAAATATTATAGAAATAAAAGTAGACTTACCTTATATTTCAATAAACAAACTAAAAAAATCAGTGTTCACCTTTTCAAATTGTTGAAAAGGTTGCTCAAAATCATGGCATCTGCAAAGTAAAAGAATAGATAGATTAATTAGAGCAGATGTGTTACTAAAATGCTTGGTAATTCATGAGAGACAATTCCACAAAAGCATTTGAAAGCTCAACTGGAGCCATTTTGGTCTACAAAAGAAGTTGATACGTAAAACTATTTTGACATACCACAAGCTATAACTAAGAAAAGGCAAGGAGAAGTTTCACCTACTCATCTAAAGTGTCCTGGAAAAAACAATCTCTGAGTATAGGCGAGGTATTAACTTTTATAACTATGGTTTTCACAACATAGTATAGATTTAAACTACGCGTTTAGAAATGTGATAAATACCCGAATAGACCAAACAAACTGACACGATGTGGTGGTGCAACCCCTTGTAACCTATAAAGAGTGTCTATCATGCTTCCATTAAACATAAGTACAGAGAAGGATTGTGGTAGAATAGGAGGAATTGAAGAATTTGAGCACTATACATAATACAAATAAGGTTGCTTAATAAAAAGACGTCTAGACATATATCAAAACACATACCACCTTACGTTACATGTCTGATAATGCATAAGTGAATCAATGTGAAGAACAATAAATTTAAGTGCAGGCATTATATGTTTGCCCTGCCTAAGTTACCATTTATCAAGTACCATGTAACTTTACAGAAAATAGAGTACCACATCAGTATTGATTTTTGAAATATAAAATGATTGTGTGACATGATGCATAAAACACACTTCATTTTACTATGAGAAGATATTAAATATTAAAGGGAGTTAATCTAAGTTCTTTAGAGTGGTTCTTTCAAGAAATTAGATATTCATTTTGTGAATAGAAGTCTTTCCAACATGAAAACCAAAATGAACAAAAGAAAAATCCAAGAGTTTTTCAAAGTTAATTTATATTTATCTCAAGCAAAATGCTGAATTAGTTATTCAAAATTCATGCTCCAGCATGTAGTGTATCTTCAAAGCAGTAGATTAGGGAATTCCTAATTTAAATTTTAAAAATACTCTGTAGTCCAACTTTACCTAAAAATCTTCATCAAAGTAGAACTTTTTGGAAATAGGCCTTTCCAACCTGAAAAACCAAATCAGCCAAACAATATTATTAGTTGAAATTGAGTTTTAATATCACCAAATCCAATTGAACCAACCATATCACCAAATGAAATTAAAGGGCTGCAGTTTTATAATGGAAGTACCTTTTCCCCTAATCACAAAAAGTTACTGATTGTTCTCACATAAGATAAATAATAGAGTGATGTGCTACTGCTAAATCTCATGAAATTTGACTGTGAGCACACACTTCAAAAAGAGCGATGTGCTACTGATGGTTGACTCACATGAAATTTAAGTGTGTGCTTATTGTCAATGTGATTAGCACGTCACTATTTATACAATAGTATCTAAAGAATAAGCGTTAGAAACGTTATTTGATCAGAAAACACCTAATCTATAAGAAATACGTAATCTATAAGAAGGTCAATTTGAATGAATGGGAAAACTTAACTTTAAGAAGAAGGGGCTGAGGTTATGTTTTGTCGTAGTCAAAGAAGAAAGCTCCCATCCATGTCCTCCCCAGTCGGCCAGTCAGTCCCCACGGCAAAAAATCTTATCTTGTGGCAAAAGATGGACTTGGCTGAAGTTAATATCTAATCTAAAACCGAAAAAAGAATGTTAGATCGTAAAAAATACCTTAGCTATAATAATAATACCAAATTAAACGGAAAAGCTTAGGTCAAAGAAGAAGATCGATTTCTCTCTGTCAGCTATCGCCTACCGAGCCCTGAGGTGCGGGGCGTTGATGGCTTCGAACGGCGAGGGCGGTTTCCTTCTCCATTGCGGCTGAGAGAGGAGACGAAGCTTGTTGATCTCTACAATTGAGCAACGATCACCGATTTGAATGTGTAGTGTGGACTCTGGGAGAAGAAGAAGAGGAAGAAGACATAGGAAATCGATGTTTGTGCAGTGCCCGTCTGGCTGAAGAAGGGAAGAAAAGAGAATCGCCAGAGAAAGCAAGAGGAGTGTTATTAGGCTGAGAAATAGGAGCGATTAGTTTTGGCGAGTAAATTACTTATCAGACCTTAGCATAGGCGGGAGATTCAGCTTTTAGGTATAGGATTGAGCTTATTTTGGTCAATCGAAATTTTGATGAAATAGTCGGGAGTCGTGGTACTAAAAAGGTTGGGGAATGCAAATCAAATCACATGTAGGACGTGCGTTTCTTCTTCCATTCCAATAAAACCTCGAGTGAAACACAGAAACTGATGGCTGGGAATTGGAAAGGCCGGATCAGAACTGCTATGCTCTATGTATATAATAATGCGTGTGGGAATTGGGAAATGCAGTGGATGCACGGAGGTAAGTAAGCAGGATTGTCATCAACCGCCGCAGTGAAAACTGAAAGCTGCTATATAAAAATAAAGATTCAAATGCAGCACCAGCGTGATCAACACTTCACAATCAGGAGGGACGAAGCTTTTGAAACAGCCTTCATTGGCTACTGCAAACTTGAAGGTTTAGATTTCAAAGCCACTCGTTTCACGCACGAAGGAAGACGAGTCCAGCCTCTGGACACGCCGGACATGTTACAATTGGAGGAAGAAGATATCATCGATGCCTTCAATGAGTGTCTAGGCGCCGCGCGCTTCCATCTCCTCCGATCCTTTCTTCTGAAACCTTCTGTCTACCCAGGCCAATCTAGATTGTTACTCCCGTCCATCAATTCCTTTATGGACACAAAACATTGCTACTATCGGTTTAATTTACACCCATATTCCGGGACCCTGCAATGCTTATTTCTATATATGGTTATACATATTCCTATTACTTTTATGGCTACTCTCAATTATATGGTATTCTCCTATGAAATTGCCCTCCATTTTGTGTGCAAATTTTATAAATTTGAAATACTAACTTGTCAAAAAACGCAAATGGAGAAACCAGCATGGTTATGTGTAGCTTCTTGAATTTAGTGTTTGAAGTTCAAATGTAAGATCGACCAAGCTCTCCAGAGTTACGTTGCATCCAAGTTTCTATATTTTGAAACCAAAGATATCAATTGTGATTTTGGTTCCCTCTGTGATTGTGATATGGATTTGCTTGAAAGGTTCACAGTTTTGTATGTCATAGAAATTTATTCAACCTCTTGTGAAGATTTTGGAATGAAATTATAACACAAAATGCAGTCAGCTTTGAAAAAACTTGATTCATTCTATAATAGTTGCAGTGTAGCACTAGAAGGGATAAGCATGTTGCACATGTTAAACCAAAAGCACATTGTGTGACTGTTTTTTTTTTTGAAAATATTGTGTGTGGTAAAAATTTGGGAACAAATCTACAGCTCACAATAATCATTATCGGCATCACGTAAAATATAGGTTCTTTATATTTTCTTATCATCTTATTTACATCTTTACCCTTCCTGAATAGGTTTAGAATATGTAAATCCTCTTAAAGCCCTTGGTTGAAAAGGTATGGAGGTATATGAGTTAAGCCGGCCTCTAAAGCTTGGGGATAAAATGATACAGAAGATAAGCCGATATTTTGAAACTTGATCGAAAGTATATTTCCTGCCTGCTGGTTTGATATGTTTGTTCTCTATTCAGCATCTCAGACCACTACTTTTCAAAATGTTGTCGAGCTTATCAACCACCACTCGAGGATCGGCGTGGGAACCATCCAAAAAAATGGGCCGGTATTCAAGGCCCTTCCATTTCGCGATAAGGGCGAAATGGGGACGCCTATATGCACTGCTAATGATCTCAAGGGTTATTGTTCCAGGCATTGCAGATATGGCATGGGTCATACCCGCCTCATGAGCACCCACAATGACCGAAGCGTCCTGTATTTCTTCAACCTGCTCCTTTACTGACATGTGACCAAATGATCCGTTAACCACGCTTAGCTTGCACTTGAAACCGTTTGATGATGACAATAATGATGCTGCCCAGTGCCTTACTGAGTCAAACACTTGTTGTTCATTGCTAAGCCTTGACTCCGGTTTCCCACTGTGTCGGGGGTGGGCCAAGTAATCCTCCCGGCGAACAAAGAGGATGCTGTGATGACGAACACCTGAAACTGCGGGCCTCGGGTTGTTGTTGAGTGGTGGAAAGCCGAAGGCTGCTTTTATCATCTCCCCAAACTCATCCAACCGCGAAGTTTTCTCTTTGTCTTTGGGGTTTTGCAACAGATTACGTTCTGTAGTGCCTCGACAGTTTATGTTTTCTGAGAGTCCCTTAAACAGTGCCGTTTCATACCCCAAAGGTGAGAGGATGGCATGGCGGAAGCAAACAGGACCTTTAAAGTGTTTTGCATATCTGACGCTTCCAAACAATGCTTTCCACACCTCCTCCAATTGTGTCGGAGAAATGCAACATGAAAAAAGAAACACAATATTACCCTCTTCTTTCTCTAATTTGACACTGAACTATATGCACCATTTACTATGAAAGCTGCCGAGCTTTTAGAGGGTGAAGGTCGAAAGCTAACAAAATATCATTTGTTTAAAAAATCGTTATGAAAAAGAGGGCAAGCCACCCCTTTTTTATTTTGGTTACTATAAGTCTAAAGTCTTCATCTTATGAGACATTAGCTCAACTTTTATTGTTTGATGTTTCTTAAGTTAGTTTGTTTAACTCAACTGGTCATATTTAACTCATTCATGATCCGCTTTTTATGAATACCATGAAAAGTAGAAATAGCTCAGCCTGTTGAAACCATTGGGTCCATCCTTATCTTCTTTCGGTGAGGGGGGACCAGGGGAGGAGCTATGATACAAAACTTAGGCTCGGTTGGTAGCCTAATTCAGCTTATTTTGCTTATTTACAGAATAAACATGAATAGATTGTTTGGACTTACTTATTATTTGGCTGAATGGGATGCTACTCCAAAGCATATAAATCAGAAATTTAGCTGATTCAACCATTTCATCCAAATAACTTTCACCAAAAGGGCGCTTGACAGCATAGCAACTGCAGGACATAATATTGGTAGAGGCAGTCAACTCATTTGGACACATACCTCACAGTGGCCATCCACAAAAACAACATGAGGCTGAGATGTCAAGCAAGTCACTCTGGAGGCCACATATGCACTGTACCAATCCGTGAAAGTGTGGAAAAGGTTTGCATACTCATACCGTGTTACAAGAAGAGTTGGCTCCTCAATCCACTGAAATTACGAACTTTGTCAGAAACGTAAAACACATCGAGACGCCAAGCATCTGAAAGTTGCTCACAACATGCTACAAAAGATCATTTGTTGGTGTGCATTTTGATCGGACGGGCTAGAACCGAACTAAACCAATTTAATATGAATAAAAACTAAACTATATACATTTGGAAATATTTTTCTCGGTCCATACTACTCCAAATCAAACTGAAACTCAATGAAACTAAATGTAACAAAAAATAAATACTATAAACCCTTATAATTTTACCCCCATTCCAAACAAAACTAAATGAATCCATACAAAATGTGAGTACTTTGAAATGAAGTAATTAATATATTATTATTATAAGAAATCTTTTGAAACAGTTATTTGATACCCAGCACATAATTAAAACTCTGTTTGGTAGCCATGATCTGCTTATTTTTCCAAAGAGGAAAAAATGAAGGACAACTTTATTTAAAAGCAGAGATATACCCTAAATGCTGACCTCAGTGCATTGGAAGTCATCTGCAGAGGCCAACAGAATTGAATCGATCAACTTGGATCCTCAACGAGCTTCTTTCTGACCTTCGATTTATCAGTCATTTCCTCGTCTTCTCCCCTTCCCATCACCATCTCCAGTTTTTCTCCTCCTTTTGACATTATAATCTTATCTGGCCTCATCCTAACCCTCCCTCCCTCGCATATCGAGCTGCGCAACGTTTCGCTATGGAAAAATCTGAACCAGCCTCCGCCAGAAAAACTCCCATCGTCACAATAATTCCGATGAAACTCTGTGGATGGCCTGACAAGTTCGATGCGGCGAGTAAAGCCGTTTCCGAAGTAACCTTCACATGATCCGAGAGTCAGATTGGGTTTTTGAGACCAGGGGGTGTGCGAAGGAAGCACCGGCCATGGTTTCGTTTGTGACGGAGGGGAGCAAGAGTGGTTTCGAGCCAGATGAAAGTGGTGGTTCGTCGGAGACTTATGGCGGAAGTGATCGGTGTCGGAGGAGAAAGAGGTAAAGAGTGATTGAATTTAACGCCAAGATAGAGAGAAGAACTCTGTTGCTAGGCATTTCTACTCTCTCGCCGCTCTCTGTATCTGTTGCGAAATCAGAACTGAAAGTCAACTGGACAACACAAAGACCGGGGAAGAAGACAGGGAGGTCGTCCCCCGACCAAAATTTCCGACCTTCTAACGTACGTTTCACTGAGAGCTTCACCAACGCAGGATTTCTAGTTCAGGTTTAGTCTGCCACTTCATCAAAATTAGACATTGTCTTTTTTTTTTTTTTTTTTTTGATAATCCAGGTGTCGGGGCTTACGCTCTCATAATCCTGGAGTCTATGAACTACCCTCCAAAGCCCCTAGACAGTTAAGTCCGGATCTGATCACAGTCAGCCTCGTCAGTACTGGCTCCAAAGGACGAATACAGGAGGACTTACATCACCTTTCAAGCTGCTCCTCCCACCACACGAACCCGCTACCTTCATTACCATCATCTCCCTTCTCAGCCGCTGAGCAACTCCGTGAAGGTAGGAAGAATCATTGGGAGCAAGACCTCCATCCTCTCCCCTAAATGTGCCTAGCGGGATTCGAACCCGAGACCCGGGTTTTTTTTATTTATTCCTCCAATGCTTGTAGTCTTTTTATTTATTCCTCCAATGCTTGTAGTCTTTTGGTGACTTGGCAAAAAAACGTAAACAGCATGAAGGTTAAGGCAAATTTTACCGCACACCCGGATGTACGGTCCTCACTGTACATCCGGGTATTTTTGCAATTAATTATAAATCTGCCGGTCAATATTAGGGATGGAGAAGGATGAGAAAGCAGAGACGGAATCGGTCCAGATCGGCGGTAATATGTATTTGTTGGTCGTCGTACGTAGCGTGAGCCTGTCCGTAGTAAATTCCGGCGTTGTTGTCGGCTTTCTGGTCTTCTGGGCAGTGATGGTGACCTTTGGTGGTGTGTAAGATGTTAGGGTGGAGAGTTATTTTTGTCGTCGTCCGTGGGTGGAAGGCCAGGAATAAAATTACATTTAGTGGGCTGGCTGGATAAGGTTAGACAATTAATGGTGTAGTGTTGATTACATTGGATTTGAGAATTCACTAAGGTTACGTCGTGTATAGGTTCATATCGTATTCTTTTTCATTTTGAAAACAAATGATCATATACAAATGATACTTGAGCACATTAATATTTCAAATGAGTATAACGTCCAAAATGAATGAGCACACAAAAATACGTTTTTAAATTTTTTGATACTCATTTCGTAAGTTGTGTATGCTCATTTGGTAGTAATGTTATGCTCATTTTAAAATGTCATATCAATAATGCATATTTTAAAATTATTATACTACATTAAATTCGCAGATGCTCAATAAAATAGGTCAGATACTCGTTAAAAGTACATTATTGCTCATTTAGCGGAAGCCGTCCATTTTCACTTAAATTACAAAAATGCCACCGAATTTTTTTTGGTCTGAATCAGTTACTGGGCTGTCTCCCTTAGTTGGGTCGGGTGTACGTACACCCGGATGTACCATATAGGCACCCGAAGGTTAACGTCTGGGTGTAGAAAGCCGTCGAAATTTGCTGACTCGACAAAAATAGGCCCGACTTCGCCAAAAAATCAGAGGGAAAACGAAAACTCAAGAGGGAAATCGAAAACTCAAGACCTATATAGTGAACTCTCTTTGCCGAACTGCCACAAATAAATCATTCTCTTTGTCGATTCATTCTGTTTTTTTGGGAAAATCAGGTTAGTTTTTGACATATCCAAACATTGTGGATCATGTTTTTCTTCAAATCACCCCATCAGGATTCCTCCGTGTTTGGGTATGTGAATTTCTAATGCTTTAATGTGTTAATTAGGGAGATATCACCATTTCTTTTTTATTCTTATTCTTTCTCTTTTATATGTGTTCTTAATTTCGTTAGTGAATTGCTACATGAATTTAGTTTCTCTTTAATGATTTATTCTTGCTCTTTGTATATGAGTTCGTATTTTGGCCAATTGTTGGGTTTTAATGTGAATGTAAATTCTCTAATATTAAATCCCCTGGAAGAGTATGGCATGATTTCTTTAATTCTTTATTGTTCTTCTCTTTTAATATGAGTTATTAATTTTGTGAATTGTTAGGTTTTAAGGTGAATTCCTAATTTCTTATCTTACGGTTTCCTATGATTTATTTGGTTTCATGATTTTATAAGTGTTCCTATGTGTGTATGTGTGTTAAGCAGGAGCTTGAGGGGGCTTTTAAAACTGATACAAAGCAAATATTTTTGTAGTATAAAGAGTGTTTCATTGAGTTGAAATGGGTGTAAAAATAAGATTGTTTGGTTGAGTTATTAAAAGAGAGTTATGTTGGTGTTTGGTTATATATATGCACAATAGCAAAACTCTCTTTTATAAATATGTTGGTTGAGTTATGAATAATTGTTTCCATCATATTATATGACAGTACCTGAACTCCTGGAAGCCATATATGCATAATAGCAAAATTATGTCATCTTTATTCATAAAAACTTGACCTACAAATTACAATTTCAATATTGTAAACACTATTATAATGCTTATTACAAAGCTTAAGATTAAATTTGATACTGTAATATGAACTGAACTCGTTAGTTCAAGTTTAAATAGTTTACTTCACTTCTAATGGAAACGGAAAACATAAGTGTACCTCACTTCACTTTACTTCACTATATTCTACCAAGTTGTACTTTGCTTTTACTTTAATTGATGTCTGGTAATTCATTGGATCCTAATTTTCTATTGTGCAAATAAACAAAAACTGGTTGTTTCTCTTCTTGTTATCAACATCTATGAAAAAATCATCGAATTTAAACTTGTAATCACAAAGCATTATAAGTATTACGATAACTGCAGAGTGAAATTTGACAATATTAAGTTGAAAGTAAAGGATTTGATGTACTCTAGATGTTTTGAACCATTTTGGGAGGCAAATAGTATTGTGGTTTTTTCTAATGTACAGGAACAATTTGGATATGGATCCTGGATGTGATCAGCTTCCCAGCTCCCAACATCCTCCTTATGTTAATCTTCCCAACCAAACTCCAAATCAGTTCCCTGGATGTGATCAGCTTCAAAGCTCCCAACATCCTTCTTATGTTAATCTTCCCAACCAAACTCCAAATCAGTTTACGACATCAATAAGTCCCCAGTTTCATCCTTCTTATCAATTTAATACCATGAATGGTTCTTGTCCTCCGTATACTAACCTACCTTATGGACCTCCTTTTTCATTCCAAAATGTTTTGAATACTCCAGTTTTTCCAAATGGAGCCACAGAAACTCATACCACACGAGGAGGAGGAGGAAGAAAGAAACCGAAAGATGTTCATAATAATTCTAATGAAACATCAACTGGTAAGAGAGATTGGAGTTCCGAAGAAGATATTGCATTAACACAAGCATGGTTACACATCTCTACGGATGCTGATGTCGGGAACAACCAGAAACATACAACTATGTGGGAGCGAAACTATATTCTACCAAGTTTCCACTAGAAACTATATTCTAGTGGAAACTGAAAACATAAGTGTACCTCACTTCACATTACTTCACTATATTCTACCAAGTTGTACTTTGCTTTTACTTTAATTGATGTCTGGTAATTCATTGGATCCTAATTTTCTATTGTGCAAATAAACAAAAACTGGTTGTTTCTCTTCTTGTTATCAACATCTATGAAAAAATCATCGAATTTAAACTTGTAATCACAAAGCATTATAAGTATTACGATAACTGCAGAGTGAAATTTGACAATATTAAGTTGAAAGTAAAGGATTTGATGTACTCTAGATGTTTTGAACCATTTTGGGAGGCAAATAGTATTGTGATTTTTTCTAATGTACAGGAACAATTTGGATATGGATCCTGGATGTGATCAGCTTCCCAGCTCCCAACATCCTCCTTATGTTAATCTTCCCAACCAAACTCCAAATCAGTTCCCTGGATGTGATCAGCTTCAAAGCTCCCAACATCCTTCTTATGTTAATCTTCCCAACCAAACTCCAAATCAGTTTACGACATCAATAAGTCCCCAGTTTCATCCTTCTTATCAATTTAATACCATGAATGGTTCTTGTCCTCCGTATACTAACCTACCTTATGGACCTCCTTTTTCATTCCAAAATGTTTTGAATACTCCAGTTTTTCCAAGTGGAGCCACAGAAACTCATACCACACGAGGAGGAGGAGGAAGAAAGAAACCGAAAGATGTCCATAATAATTCTAATGAAACATCAACTGGTAAGAGAGATTGGAGTTCCGAAGAAGATATTGCATTAACACAAGCATGGTTACACATCTCTACGGATGCTGATGTCGGGAACAACCAGAAACATACAGCTATGTGGGAGCGAAACTTACAAGTTTGGAAGGATAACATGGGAGATCATTGCAAAAGCCCAGAAATAGTAACAGCTTACAATGTCGGTGGCAAAAAATACAAAAGTCCATTAACAAGTTCCATGGGATTTATGAGAAACTTGAAAGGCATCCACAAAGTGGTTCGAACCCAGAAGACATGGTAAGTATTAAAGTGTTATAGTTTTTATATATTCATTACATTTGAGTAGTTTAAATCTTTTTTATTCGATTCTTGTGTTTTCCAGAAAAAAAGGGCATTGAGCATGTACGAGAGGACTATGAGTGATAAGAAGAAAAAGGAATTCAAATATGTCCACAGCTGGGAACTTTTAATAAAGAATGCAAAATGGTCTACCAACCAGCTGACAAAGTCTACTGCATCAAATAAGAATTATGTGGACAACGGAAACCCATCAACGACTTATGACACCACACCTAACACGGGAAATAATACTACGGAACCTGTAGAAGTTAGATGTGATGAATTTGTGCGCCCAGAAGGAAGGAAGAGTTGTAAGGAAAAAAGCGAAAGCTGAATGCACAAAATGGAGTTATTGAAGCATTGAACAAACTGCAATGCACCTTAGAGAAGCAAATCCAATTCAATATGGCAGAGCTGGAGTTGAAGAAATAAATCCAACAAAAAGAGTATGCATTTAGAGAGCAAGTAATGAAAAAAGAGTTAGAGCTAAAGGAGCATAACCAAAAGTTGAAGGAAGAATCCCAACAAATGAAGATGAAGGAGCATGAAATGAGAGAGAGCACAAAATAAATCTGATCAAGAGCGTTCTCAAGAACGTATTATGAACCTCGACTTGAGTAGACTGTCACCAACTGTCCAAGCTACATATGAAATCTTACAAGCTCAAATACTGAAAGAATGGGAAGTTGCCAACTTTTATAGAATTTAATTATATTATAGACTCTCGATCTTTTCTTATTTTATATTATAGATTTATTAGATCTTTTCATATTTCAATAATTTTCCTATGAATGGAATATATGAACCATAGTTGATTGTTTTTTTAGGAATTAAGTCGCTGGTTTGTGATTTAGTATAATTATTATTATTCTATGATACTGATTTATATTACAGAAGCAACTTATTCCTTACAAGTGTTTATAAATGAATGTATGAATAGGAAATTTGGTATGCATCATGTAAAAAGATAAACTGCTTTCCCACATAGAAGCATTTTCGTGCCTATTAAAAAAGAACTGAGTTTCTTTTTTAAAGATAAAAAATCACCACCTGTAATATTGCTTGATTATAAAGCATTTTCTTATTAAGCACTTAAAGTTAAGCACATTCCAAGTTGAAAAAACATTAAAAGGCTTTGTTCGAAAGAGGTGATGCCATTACTTTATCAATTATTGAGGAGCACATTCCAGGTTTAATCAACTACGTAGAGCAGATTGACTGCTCACAAAATCAACTATATAGAACAGAAACATTTCAAAGTAAAATCGATCATGTACACTCATAAACTAATGTAAAATCATTATGTTAGAGACTTATTAAGACAATTACATTATTCTAAACAAGGATTGTTCATGAAATAAAAAAATACATTAACAATTAAAATTGAAAAGCAACTAGCTATAAAAAACTATTATAATTAAAAAGAAATAGCTATAGAACTATTACATTAAAAAGAAACTAGCTATCAAAAACTTGTCCGCCATATACTTCCCACAAATGATTAATGAGATCATTCTTTAATTCCCTATGCAGCCATATGTTTTGTACTTGTTTAGTTCGATTAATCATCATTGACATAATCAAATTAAAATCATTCTCTAGAGTAACACTTTCAGTAGATTGTTCTCCTTCTGCCTGCCAGTCTTCAGGATCAATGCCTTGAGTACGCTCATTCTCAATTATCATGTTATGTAATATGATGCATGTCTTCATTATCTTTCCCAAGTCTTTTGCACTCCAAAAACGAGCAGGGCCCTTAACAATATGCCACCAACTTTGTAACACACCGAATGCTCGTTCAACATCCTTTCTTGTGGATTCTTGTAGTTTTGCAAATAGCTTTTCCTTGACAGATGAAGGTTGAGATATTGTTTGGATGAGAGTAGCATACTGTGGATATATCCCATCAGCTAAATAGTAACCCATATTGTACTCATTACCTTGAACTATAAATTTACATGGTGGAGCTACACCATTAATTAGATCATCAAACAATGGGGATCTATCTAAAACTGTAATATCATTGTTACTACCAGTCATTCCAAAGAAAGCGTGCCAAATCCATAAACTCTGCGAAGCTACAATTTCTAAAATAAGAGTTGGAACTCTCTTAAAACCATTTGTATGAGTACCATGCCAAGCACTGGGGCAATTTTTCCATTGCCAATGCATGCAGTCCAAACTACCAAGCATACCGGGAAACCCTCGACTCTCTCCTTCTTTCAGGAGCATTCTAATATCATCCATGCTTGGGTTTCTCAAGTAATGTGCTTCATAAACTCCTATAATAGCATCACAAAAGTGCTTTAGACTTTCAATTGCTGTTGTTTCTCCAATTTGAACATATTCGTCAAGAAGATTAGCTGGACAACCATATGCAAGCATGCGTATGGCTGCTACCATCTTCTGCAGTGGGCTCAACCCAATGTTTCCAACAGCATCAACCTTTTGTCGAAAATAGCTATCATAGTTCTCAACATCTTGTAAAATTCGGGTGAATAATTCAATATCCATTCTAAATCTACGACGAAAAAGTTGTGGGGTGTACTTTGAGTTTTCACCTTTGAAGTAGTCATTTACTATTTGGTCATGACGTTTTCCCCTATCCCGACGAATATAGCATCTACCTGACGGTAAACCTTCGAGAGAGCATTTTGCAGCAGAAACCATAGAAGAAACAATCAACGACACATCTGAACAACTTTCTGTGTTAAGAAAATCTTTCAACGGATCATGTATTGATTGTTTGGTAAGTGAGAGATCATTATCACTCGAAGATGAACTATTAGAGTCTGATTCAAAACTTGCGGTGGCCATGTCCTTGACCACAAACCTGTTAAGAAACCATCATTCATAACTAATGAAATTAAACATATAATATATGTGTATATATATATATATATATATATATATATATATATATATATATATATATATATATATATACTGATACACACACATCGAATTACACACACAACTAACACAGATACCATATACGAAGTACTCCCTCCGCCCCTTATAACTTTGACAACTTTCCTTTTTTGGTTGTCCCAAAAACTTTGTCACTTTCCCTTTTAGTCAATCAATTTGTGGTTATTGTTATTTCTCTCTCCTATGCACAAATCTCTACCACACAGTTTTTCCTTTATTAGTTTACGTGCCGGTCAAACTTGGCAATCCTTTTAGGGACAGAGCGAGTAGAGTATATAAATAAATACTGATAAACATAGGTTCCAGTTACACCCAGGCCACACACATATACATATATACAAAGTATATTATAGGAATTGAATATTGCTAGTGTTGGGAATCACCACACAAACAAACAAAACAGCCATATTTATACTATATGTTACATGCTCGGGCAAATTCTAGTTAAGTTTGATTTTCAATTGCCGCAATCAAGAAAATAAATATGAGATCGAACTGGCAGCTCACCTCTTTGGCTGCTTTTGAATGTTATATGAGTTAGAAGAAATTAAAGCAATAATAAATTAGCGAAAATATATTAGTGAAGAAACGATGAAATCCTAGCCAAAGTTGAACCAGTCTGATAATTAAATCCGGAAGGTTAATTTGAAAAGGAATCGTTAATTTAGTATTCCACCTGGACACGACTTTGGCCGTTAGACTTTACCCATTGGAGTCTTTATTTTTTTTGAATATCCGATCATTTCACATTAATATTATGTGGATTAGAAGGCCTTTTATTTATTTGACAATTGACACACTTTTTTTAGACTAGACACTCTCCCATTGATGATGCTCTTAACAGCCAGTTTGTCAACTTTTAAATTGTGAAAAAATGACGTGGTTTTTGTTAAACTGTGGAGAAAAATAATTATGTTGAAGGAAATTATATGTAATGCATTATCGTGTATATATAATAGGAAAAATTGATTGTAATAATCCCAACTATTGTCGGTCCCCTCATAATAATACCAACTATCGATTATTTCAGAATAATTCCAACTTTAGGGACCTTCCGCCAATAATGATCCGATGTGACCGACTATAAATAAATTCCTATAGTTTTTAAAAAGATATAACAAGTAATCCCTATAAATAATCTTAAATTTTAATTTTTACGCTTAATTTCTATTAAAAAATCACTTGTTAGAGCATGTAATATGCGGTCATGGACCATTATCGGTGTGACACCGGCATTCGCATGTGCACCGCATTAAATGCGGTGGTTGAACGTGACGCCGCATTAAATGCGGTGGTTGAACGTGATGCCGCATTAAATGCGGTGGTTGCCTGTCTCTGAAAGAAATCTTCGTCGAGTCTGCTATATGCCGAAGGCCTACATGTGGCTGAAGGCATGGTATATAGCCGAAGGCAACATATAGCCGAAGGCTATACACAGCCGAGGGCATGGTATACATAGCCGAAGGCTAACTTTTTGGCCAGAAATTCCTAGAAACTTTGCAGGTCCAATATGAAGTTGTCGTCTAGAAGTTGGAGCCTTCGGCTGCAGGGCCGAAGACCTCCATATGTGCACTGTGGGCTTCTTCATGCTTGGGCCGCTACGTTTGGGATTTGTGTGCTCATCGAGCCTGATGGGCCCGTGTAGGAGAAGTAGGAGTCTGTGGGCCGGGGGTCCCTGGGCCATATACTCCATCACCCGGCAGGCGTCCCCCGGCGTTTGCCCCACTGATTTTGGTGGTTTGCCTTCCGGGGTAAAAAAACACTTCTTTATACACAAAACTTTTTATTTCAATGTTCGTTCCTCTATCATTGATTACTCTAGACACAATCACGTAAAGTTAATAATGACTAAAACATGTTTTTTGAACAACAAACCAACACGCGATAATGACATATTAAGTCATTTTTGGGTATTATCGTATCCGGAATTGGAATGCCAAGCCGACATATGAAGGTTTTAAGCAATGCTGGGAATTAACACATTCTGTTCTGCACTACACCCTCTTAAAATCATTTCTTCTAGTAAAATGTTTTGCTAGTAATTCCCTCGCGTGATGCACAAATGATTGTGACAAAGATTTATTTCATTTTCAAATTACAGCTATATATATATATATATATATATATATATATATATATATATATATATATATATATATATAGGGGTGGGTTCAAGTAAAAAGTAGTTTTCCCATGAAAAGCGAGAACAAATCTTGGCCTTTGATCACTTGAAAATGGATGGATTAGATGAACTTTAAACACAAGAGACGATTTTAAAAAATGTGCAAATGTTTATACTATAAAGTGAATAGTTACTGATTAAAAGTGCACTCATGCATGTCAAAAAAGATTGTCAAAATTTTCCAACTTGTGCACTTTTTATTTTGTACTTTTGTGCTCTACATCTGCACTTTTAGACTATTCTGATACATATTTATCCCAATATTTTCAATAAAAGTTCTCCATAACTACAACAATGCCACCACTTTTCTAACTTAAAAATTGATCTTTTCCATCCATTTCTTCACATCAATGGCCAAGATTAGTTCTTATTTTTCACCTAGGAAGTACTTTTTATTTGAACCAAGCTCTCTCTCTCTCTCTATATATATATATATATATATATATATATATATATATATATATATATATATATTGAAGTTAAATTTATTAATACAAATTGTGTGACCTTACATTTGTGACCTTACATTTATGACTAAGTCATAACTAATAGGGTAACCTTACATTTATATGAATTGCATATTTAGACGAATTGCCTTTGTAAACAGGCAAATCAGGAGTGGTGCAAATATGTGAAAGTGTGTTATGTCATTCTTAAACAATACTTAAATACAAAGTACAAATTTATGAGAAATGTTCAAATAGATCCTTCTACTATTGTAGAAGATAAATTTAGGTATTTTTGCATATAATTTTCTGAGACAACTACATATTATGACTAAAATAAAGATTGTTTATGAAACATGACCTCTTAAATGTATTGACTATAATAGTTACTTTTTCACGTAACTTATGTTCAATTTTCACATCATGTGACAATGACATTATATCCATATTAATTTTAGTCCTCTTTTTGTAAATTACTTTTATTTCAGCAATTTTTTGTAAATAGTTTTTATTTCAGGAATAGTTTTGAAAATTTTCTAATTTTCTATTTAATTTTTAAATAAAAGATATTTTAAATATTTTTTCTATAATTAAACAAATTCAGCCAATGTAATCGCTTCAATTAAGCTTCGTCAAATTTAAGAGATTGAATCGATTCAATCAATTTCAAATTAATCTAATTATTTGGTCCATTTTGAATTGTGTAAGTTTGGTGACCGAGTGTTTCATCAAACATGTAATTTTTTATGTTACTTTTTTACTGCATTGACTGAAGTTACTGCAGAAGACCATTTTGGCTATTTTTTCGTATAATTTATTTATTTATTTTATTAATAAAAAATATTTTAAATTTAATTATTTTCGTAAATCAATAAAATCAGTCAATTTATGTCAACCTTTTTCGTGAAATCTCCGTATGATGCTGGATCATATTAATAGAATCACTAAACTGTTCATAAATTTTAATAGAATCGAAATTTTCAACCAATTTCATGTTACTGGATCATGATTAAATAAAACTTATCCATTAAAAATTTGTCTTTATGTCATTTGATTTTATGACCAAAACATATTCATAGAAAAAATATACTTCCTAAATAAATATCCAATTTTTTAAAAAACTTTGAAAAGTATAGCCTTCTAGATTTTCTCTTCCGTGGTTAATAGTTAATACAGCCCCTCGGATTTGCTTCTCCCTTCTAAGTTTCGCCCCTTCACAATGACAACGACCACATATTATACACTCTAACGTTGTAGCTCTTTTCCTTACCATGAAGATTTGACCTCATAGAGACCTTGGATGAGTGCATCATATGGAGGTTTTATTTTTAAATTTTCAAATTTTACTTTTATATCAACCAATTTCAATCAGAAATTTTCCGTAGTTCTTTTGGAGTACAATTTAGAAAATTCTTAGTCTAAACACTAATTAAATATTACCCCGTAGTTTTTTTTTCATACAATTTAGAAAATTCCATTGTTTCAATTCGAAGTGTAGGAGCATACAATTAAACAATGATTTTTGCTTTTGCTTATTTTGGTATAGAAATTTCAGAATTGTTTTTTATTAATGTTCTTAAAATAAAGTATGTTGAGGTTTCATCCCGTAGATCCGAAAGCCCAACACAGACTTTGGATATATCAGGAAATGGATAATAATTTGGTACGTAAAAGAAATATAAAAGATCGATAATCGAATGCTCAAAAGCCCACTTGTATTAATTGACCTGTTTGATTACAAGAAAATTACTCGAACGGTACGTCGGATTGATGCTTAATACAAGAAACAAGAGTAATAAGGCTATTCTAGGGCTTGAGTATTAAAATGCTAACCCTTACAATGATATTAAACCTTCTATTTATACTAATGGAGAGTATGTGACACTTTATGTTGATTGGCCGATGTTCCACCGACTTGATCACACGTGCCTCCACTTGATGATGTCACACTCTGGCATTAATTGCACCTGGCCACTTGCTGATTGTCCATTGCCCGAACGGAATAATGGGCCCTGGAAAACATTGTTGATTTGGCCCAAGTATGATGTATGACTCGAACCCCGTTCGGTATGTCTGTTTTCAGGGCCAGCCTTTACTTGGCCCGAACCTCGTTCGATATGAATATCTCACTGGGCCTACTTATTATAGGGTAGTGGACTCGTTGTTTGGGCTGGATGTCCTGGGCCTTTAATCCGGGTATTGGGCCTCCGGGTCAATATCCCAACACGAGTCCCCCACTTCCGATGTCTCGAATGACAGTGAGTGCATTAGGAAGTATAAGTGCCATGATATAACTGCCGAATGGCGATCGGGGTACAGAAGTGGTCAGTTCCCTATACTGTGATTTGACGGTTGTCGTTTGAGTTTTCCCATATTCGTCATGATTGTTGATCTTTGATCTTCCATGTGACACGTGTTATTTCAAATAGTTCCATTGACGTGTCTCTATTTGATTGGTCTTTGATACGGCGTTGTAAGGCTATAAATTAGCCTTTAACTCCTCAAATCCGGGTTTCAAATTTTCAATCTCTTCGTTCTTTTACTCTGCCTTTTCTCTCGATCCCTTCAAGCTTTTCGTGTCCAGGTACTTCTCATCCCTTTAAATCTCTCTCTTCTTTGATCCGATCGTTATGAGTTCTCGACCGTTTTCCGATTCGGAAATGGCTTCCCAAGGGGAAGACCATGATGTGGAGATTATCACCGTCCCTTTTGTTGAGGGCTCCAATGTGGCGATGGCAGAGATTAGGGCGGAGACGGAGGATTCCTACGGCAGTTCTTCTTCCTCCAGTGAAGATTCCGATGACACCAAGTCTGATGATGAACTTACTTCCATGGCGGCCGGACGTCCCAACGATTTCCCTCGTCACACGCTTGACCTAAGACTAATTAGGGAGAGGCGGCAAAAACTGACTTCTCACAACAGGGCTGAAATTTCGGCCCTAATCCCAGACCCAGTGGACTTCCGATTG